GAAGAAAATGGATTTTTTTTTATGTGTTTGAATATCGATCAAATTAGATATGTAAATAATTAAATGTTGAAATTGAAATTTTCTTTTGATTTTAATACAATGTCCTTCTATTTCACAGCGATATTATAATTGCAAATTATTCCTTCGGTTATTCTGGAAATTTTTTCGTCATTCTCCGATTCTGGTTGTCACGTATATTTTTTCGTTCATATTCCGTACACGAGTGAAACGAAAATATTCATACGTTTGTGAATATATATTCAATTATGAATAAATTTGGTCGGTAATCGAAGAATCATTGAAAAGTTGCTTGCCTTTGAATTCTTTCGAAACAAGGCCGAAAATGTTCTTCCGCTTTACAAGTTTGTTTACCCGAAATTACTTCTTGACATAAATAACAGTTATGTAAATCAAGCTTTGATCTATGTGACCCGGGAAAAATTTATTCAATAAATTTATTCAATAAATTATCCAATAACGTCAAGTCTAGTTTTTCTATCGTTAAAAAGAAATTCAAATATACGCGTGAATTCCATAAAAATAGAATTGGAAAATTGTTGCTAAGTTTATAAAAAAACATCAAATATCATTGTTAAGTGAATACTCAAACGCGTCTGGATTATGAATGATAATTAAAAGAAAAAATATATGAATCCTTAAATCGTAAATAAATCATAAAAATAATTTAATAATAATTTAAATTAAATCGTAAAATTATATCATGGGAAAAAAAGTCTGGATTATCGAGATTTAAATAATTATTACCATAAATAGTAGTCGTGTCAAAAATCTTCTTTCTCTTCTGAAACAATCTGCCGGTAAAGAGCGTGAACACGATCCTGAGGAAATAATTTACATCGAAGAGCATGTAGAGAACGAGAGCGATCGTGAGCAAGCAGGCACATGCCATTTTTCAGTAACAATTCCGTAACAAGATGAAGCGAGAAAGGAGAGCAAGCAGGACGTTTCGTGTTTGACGTTCACGTAGCCACAGTTCGAAGAACACTACGTGCGGTTACCGTGAAATTCCAAACCGAGAGGTCGCTTCTTACGCAGTAAAAATATGGCAACCGGTTTCACACGGTTAAACGATGTTCCGTTGTAATCGGAACGGTACTTCGTATAACTACGGAAATCGTATAACACGCGGCCGATAAATTATAATTAACGTTCAATACGATCTAATTCAAATGATCATGATATCTTCATACGGGGTGAATTTTGATTACCATCTGTGATAACGAGATTATCACACAGAGAGAGAATGTACTCGATCGATCGTTTGGAGTACTCGAGCGATGGGTGAGTTGGTGAAATTGAATTGAATCATATGATATATCACATGAATGTATAAGTATACCAACAATTATATTATGCAAATTTTACACAAATTGGACTAGCATACGTGAAAGAAGATAAACATCCTTTCAAAAACACTCGGTCATCTCGATTGATGTCGCGTTTAATTAATTGAAAAAAAAAAAAAAAGAAAAGTAGACGAGATATAGAAAAATATATGTTTCTCGTTACATATGTACGATCATATGTATAATTATTCGAAAATATTTTGATATGTAGATACCCTAGTTAAGTTTGAAAGTAAAAATGGATCGGGTTATGATATACGGGTAAACTTTTCATGAAATATTTAACACGTGATTAAATTGCGCATGCATTTCGAACATTTTCGAAAATCGTAATCGATTGTTCGATAATACGACTTTGATGCCGAAAATTTTTGTCGACGATTACTTTTACCTTTGTTTTCTTGAAACAGAGAAGTAGCAGAGAAAAATAAAAAAGTAAATGTGTTTTTTCAACGAGGAAACATTAGCCATCTAAGGAATATTTATTCTTACTCCTGGATAATGGTATCTTCAACGACATGATCAACACAATATTATCTGACAAAAAAAAAAAAAATGGCACTATTATCATCTAGAAGTATAATAACGTGTCCACGTATATCCACGTGGTGGACAATTCTATTTTATTCTGTTCGAGACTCGCTACGTCGTCGGCTACTTTTCAATGACGAAACTACGAATACCGTTTTTTACTTCGAAATTTAAGTCGAAATATACACCTTGAATGAATTTGTTCGTGCAAATGGCGTCGGTAACAAGGCGTTCTACACGATTTAAAAAGAAAAATTAATCACGCGAGAGCCGCATACAATTTCTTTTTTTTTTTTTCAACTCCCGGTTGCCGGACGTCCTATCATAGAAAATAATAATAATAATAATAATAATAATAATAAATGCAGCAATGATAACAAATGGAATTTAAAATTGCAACGAGTCGACGCGTGGCAAATCAATGTCACGGTCTAATTATTCGATAATCGTAAAAAAGCGAATATCCACGAATCACGAATTATGTTAAAGGCACCTGTAACACGTTATAGAAGTATAAACACTCTTAACGCGCTCGTAAATATGTAAATTGTTCAGAGTTCCTCGAGAGAATTCTATTAATTTATTCTCTCCTCTCCCTCCCCCTTCCTCTCTCTCTCTCTCTCTCTCTCGCGGAAATCAATTACCGGCGCCAATCGCTGTATGTACAATATATATACTATATTATAATATATATATATATATATAATAAAAAATGTAAATAACGCCTCGCGATTACTTTCAACGGGGAATATTTAACAAATGGTGCTCATTTTTTAATTTTGGAAGCTCCTTTGGATTACACGGTTTCGTATCTGTAACCTTGCTCGACGCCGCATCTAGCAATCCGTTCCACGGAATGCTGGACAAATTTCTCGTAAAGCATCTTGGAAATCACGGGATCTATCAAATAAATTCTGTAAATAAATTCTCGCCTCTCGCGTGAGGGAGGAGAAACGACAACACCTTATACAGTCCGATAGTCGCGCATATACTATTGCCTATTAAAATAATTTCGCGCCTCTGTCTAGCCTTTGTACTCTTAAATATCTTGTTCTTCTTTCGAACAATTTCCTTTCTTTCTCTTTTTGACATCGGCTATATATATATATATACATATGTACGTATGTATGTATACATGTTTATCGAAACCACGCTACGTTAAATAACGTTAAACCAAATTTTCAGGCGGACAAATGGCAATATTAAGCTGCCCCTCTTCGACCATTGAACCATCGGACTTGCAATCGATAAAAGCTTCAAACTTAACGATCACCCGTTTAATTTGTTCACCTAAAAAATTGATTCGAAGCTATCTCGTATGCCGTTCGGTGGAAGAACGGTACGTGGAAGATTTAATTAACGCCTTCACGATCAACGAAAGCCAGCATCGATCGAATCTTCGACCTTAGACGGCCGTAGTCGCGTACACGGAAGTGGAGACGGCGCCATTTGTGGTGGACGCCGCTTCCTCCTTTTGTCAGCAATGCGTGGTCACCGCAGCACTCTGACGAAGAAGCGCCGACGAGATTTCGTTACTCTCCAACCATCTCGCGACTTCCGGCGGCATTTGCGGCCTCACGTTGTGTATCTGCAATTTAAACGTGTTTCCATCACTTTGCGCTTATTAATTATTATTAATTACGCGTTCATAAATAATCAATTACGATCTCTCGTCGATCTTTCGCGGATACCAACCTGTCGCCAATTTTTATTGATTGAAATGACGCGAATATTTTTACCTGCGGTGCGCCCGCCTCTACGTTTTGCTTCACGCCCCGTTCCATTAGAGTGCTGATTATAGTCTCGGCGTTACAGTCCAAAAGTTTTTGCCTGCATATAGCGATAGCCCTCACGAATTCATCGCTGGTCGTGATGAATCGATGCTCCATGAATATGGATTTTTCATCCCAATATATAATCTGTAAAAGGTAATCAACATTTTTTGTAACATTTTACTTATATATATGTATATATATGTTATAGAAAAATATTAATAAATTTTCGGTAAAGAGATAAATACTCGTGCGGTGTGGAAGAGAGCCGTAGAACGATTCTACGATTCTGAAACGTGGGCGAGAAGAGTCAACGAATTAATTTCCGTTGTGATGTTATCGGTTTTCCTGGAGTTATCGGGAACAAACAATCGGCCGTGTGATGATTCTCTTTACAAAAGAATCGTGAAAAATTTTTTTTGTACGGATTCGCGTGACGACCGGTCAGAGTACAACGAACGAACGTAATACGATTTCACGGTGCATACCTTAGAAGTTATTTTGAAGATGGAGAAAGGTTTCAGGAAACGACGATAACGTATCGTCGCCGCTCCTTGCACGACACCCGATCCCTGCGAGCATATCTCGCGATAGAGGTTGGTCCTTTCGTAAAAATCCGCCCTGGCGAAATCGAGCTCGCGAAGGTATCTCGCGTTGTTCATGTGGGAAAGCAATGGATCCACGTCCGTCGTGGTGCAGATACCTGTTTGATAAAAATCAAATATTAATTTTCGCGACCGTGAAAAGGCCGTTAATAGAATTAAATAAACATCGACAATCTCGTCATTCCTGTCACTGTAAATATTGAAAGAATGGCAGGTCAAATAAAAATTGCATAATCGTTGATAATCGGGGAACATTTGCGATGCAAAAATTTTGTTAATAATTGGTTTTGAACGTTAAGAGGGAAAGTAAATAGATAGAGTGGAATAGAGATATCCCTCTTTCCGCTTTCAAGTATCCATTTGTAACAGAAAAAAAAAAAAAAATACGGAATAAATGTAAGCGGTTTCCTCGTCCAAGGACTGATAAATAAAAGATCAGTTCTGGATACCGAGCATACTAAGTATCTCTATCGAGGAATTACTTATTCCTCGTTCATGTTGCGTGTCATGTAAGCCGTGACAATGATTATGTCTCTTCTTATGAGAAATTTCTAGGAATCGGACCACCGTGTTGGTACATCGAAGGATACGGGGGCGCGCATCGAAATATCTAAAACGCAACGTTCGCGTGTATATTTCGAAGCGGCGGTCCCCCAGTTTTCGTAGAATTTCACCGCGGTGAGCGCAATCAATACCAGCACGGATTTGCTACACGGAGCTGCCAACTGATCGCGCATGGTAGGTCAAGGTTTACGCGAATGAGCTCGAGATAAGTCAGTGAATTGTAAGGATTCTGGGCTTACGTAGCTGACAGCACAAGTGCATACAATGCATTTTCATGGGATCTTTCTTAAGTTCTCGGATAATAACGCGTGCGTCTTACGTTACGCGCTATGCTATATAATTGAAACGATGAGACGGTATCGAAGACCGCACGTTAATTTTAACGTGTTCGCAATAATTGATGCGATTGTCTTCCAGGGTTAAGCAACCAACGTACCGTATACAGTGGTCTCGTCGAGGATGCGAACTCTCTTCTTGCAGAAACGCGCGAAGAACACGATGAAGAACATGCGAAGAAAATAGTGGACCTCTATCACCCCGTAGAGCAACACGATAGCCCCGAACACACCGGTCAATACCCAGCAGGCTATCATTCTGATCTATCAACCTCGTATCCCGCCCGTTCTCCGATTGAATCGGGAATAACAGATCCCCGCGTGGTCAGACTTTGGAAATTCTCCACCGTTGCAAAGCCACACCCCGCTTTATCGATTCGTCGGGACGTACGGTGTTTCCTCGCTCGCTTCTCGTCGAAGAAGGGAAGTCAGGTTGCACAATTAGCATGACAAAGGATAGCAGGTGGACCGACGTCGCACGGCCAACAGTCCCATTATGAGACGCATCGGCACGTATCCAAGCGTTTTTTCCTTCCTTTTCTTTTGTTCTTCTTCTTTTTTTTTTGTGTGTGTGTCTTTATACGCGCGAAATACCTAAAACGTGACAGATAAAAAAGATTTTAATTACGAGGAGCAAGTAAATCGATTCTTTGTTCTCGTCGAGAGAATTTATTCCACGCGGAAGATTCTACTCGAGCGAGACGGTTTTCTTTTTTGCAACACCACGTTGTAGAAGAAACGCTCGATAACGGTTGGAACTCTGGTCTATCTCTCTTTCCCAGGTAACGACCAGCCTGTGGAAAAATTTGCACTTAGAGAGGCGAGTAAAGGCTATTTTTGAAAGCTGTACACGCACTGGGTAAATATTAGAACACGAGTCCGTTTTAATTGCGCGGTACGCCTTGTGCTAACACACAATTTAGGATCGTTCGTAAATTAAACCGCACATTGAAAATAGGCATCGATGAATCGTGTTGCAATGTTGCTGATGATCGCTATAGGCGAAGGATGACAATCGAGCAAGAACAAGCAGCGACGCGATTTGGCAAACCGCGACAACCGTGGCGTAACTTTTGAACGAGTCGAGTTTCTGGGGGAGAACGATACCGTTTACGAAAGCCGTTTGAATCTTCGTATCGTAGCGAAAGCGATACTTTCCCCCGCTCCGTCCAATTACGAGGCGAAGCACGTTTTTTCGTTCCTTGACGAGCGTTCCCTCGAGAGAAGCTCAAAAATTCGTCGTCGCCTATTTTTCAAAATAGCGTTCCACCCTCGAACGGCAGCCCTTTCCATCGCGCGTTATTCATTTCGCGCGGTAAAGATAAAGACTCTTGGCAACTGATCGCGATAATCGACGATTCCGCCTACCTGGTGGGTGCCCGTCACCTGGAAATAACGCGACGTCCTGTGGCTGACTATACGCGACACATGAATCCGCACATGCTTATCTACTTACACGCGCACACGCACGAGGTACACACGCGAGGAGCACACGTAGAATTAACGGCAAGAAGTATGCGTTCGTGTCGACATCTCAGAAACTGCTGATCAACCGCGTTCCCCGGTTTCGATGCCGCGGTGACGTCGTTACAGGCGTCGGAACGTCCCTTTCCGAAGTCGCATCTGCGCCGAGGATTTCCAACCACGAAGCCTGGTGTTCCTTAGTGGGAGGCGAAACCTTGCTGCGCGTTGACGTCAAAATCCTTGCCGCCTTTTTTAATGGGGGAATCGAACTATGGTCGTGCGTTGCATAGATGTTTGCGCTTTACAGAGAATTATCGCAAAAAATAGAATTGGAAATGATATAATCGACCGGTTTGGCCACATTTTTTTCTTTTTTTCTTCTGCTTTGTGTACCGAGAATCCGGTTGATCGGTATGTATAATTCAATGAATTTTTTTTCTCGATCTATGTTTTTTTTTTCTTTAAATTATTTTACGCCACAAGAGTGAAAGAGTGAAAGAATGAAAGTTACTCGATTAATTTTGAATGAGGAGCGAAAAAAGAAACGATATAATGAGAAGGTCGAGAAATGTAGTAACCTTGAACTTTACGAGATTCACGATGTTCGTTGATCCATAAAAGAGAAAGAATCTCTTTATAGTATCTCTATTGCTTGTATATAAAATTCAAATATATATATAATAAAAAAAAGAAAAAAAAGTCGATTTCCTCAATAATTATTAATATCGTTGGTATAAAATGTTAAAAAGGAAATCACGATACAGGAAATCTATCAGCATTCTGCGAGATTAAAATATCACAACGTTGTATCATTATTTTCCATCGCAACTTCGGATTCTCTTTTATAGGAATATTTCTATTCTTATTTTCAAAAATAATTTAGAATTGAAATTTCGTTTGAATCGTCATTATTAAATTAGACGTAAAATATAATACTGTTGACAGTTATTAGTAAATATTAACATATACGTTGACGTAATATAAAAAAAAAATATATACTAGAAATAATCTTTTTTACAAGAGCACGCTTTATAACATCTTCTTTCATAAAAAGAAAAGAGAGTAAAACGATTTTAAATCTTTTCGTTTTTTTTTTTTAAAGAGTATAAAAATTGTATTATTTCGTTTCTTCGAATTACGTGAATTTACTTTACGAAATTTAACGTACGCTTTGTGTAATTGGTACGAAGAGAAGAAGAACGAGCGAAGCTTCGTCAAACGTTATTTGAAGGCGGGACATGCACGAGCAATACTATGTTACATCAAAAAGGAGCTAGTCAGAAAACGCTTTCCTGCTGATGTTTTATGGAAAACACGTGATCCGCGAACGAGCAACCACGAAATCGGCACGAATCGGATCAATAAATAAGTCACGTACAACGTGGGAATTGCAGACGTCGTAAAATTTCTATTAGCTTACCGGAAGTTTTATCGAACAATTACAATTCTACTTTTAGCTTGTGCGCCCTCAAAGACAATTATACAGTTGTTTTTTTTTTTTTTTCTACATGTTACGCGTAGAAGCACAAATTAATATCGCGTTTAATTTATTATATGTAGTTTATTATTATAAAAAATTATTTGTACATCATTGAAACTCTGCTTTAAAAATATAGAAGACAAATATAAAACAATATAGAATCAATAAATTAAATAAAATATTCGTACTATTCGTTCTCTCTCTGTGTACAGCGATTTTTTATTTATTATTCGGTGGAAAAAAATTCCATAACGAACGGCGAATCATTTTTTTCGTATCGAGTTAATGGCAAATCGTACGGAACAGGGAAAATTGGAACACCAGGTTCTTCTTCCTTTATGGGAAACGTTGATGATCCAGTCTATAAAAAATATGCGTTTGGAACATATCTTTGTCTACGTATAAAATGTATATGTATAACAAAATTTTTACGTACAATAAAGCTTGGAATAAATACAACACCCCCTTCGTAATTCATAATATAATGAGAATTTTTTCCAACCGTCCCCCATGCTGCTTTACTTAAATTAGCACTAGTGAGGACAAACCAAGGTATTCTTTTCAAATCAGGTGAGATTCTTGTATAAGTTTTTATATGAGGCATTGCTCTATCTCTACCGGTTTGCTTGGCTTTCCACTGACTGAAAAAATTGTTAAAGATAAACATATCAAATCAATGATGCGAATAAACATTAGAAACTTACTACATGTATGATTCTATCCATTTTTGTTTGGAATGTGTTTGAAGACTGTACGGTAGACAACAAGATCCAACTCGACAATCAAAACTTTGTTTATAATTGTTTAAAGACGGATAAATGAAGTGGAAATTCGGATGACTTTTTAAACCTACTGGATTTTCTTTCGACATCGAGGATGTAATTTCTTTCTGAAGCCAACTCTCGTAATTAGGACCTAAGCTACCAATACTCGAACTCTGAGCAACTAATATCCATTGGGGCGCATCGGGCGGTAATTTAGCGTGTTTGGAAAGAATGGAACCTAATTTTCTATGTCCCCAAGAGTCATATTCCATATCCGTGTGTCTTCCCGGAACAGAAGCCAAAAAAAATACGTTTACCGAAGAAAAATCTGCTCTTCTCACAGCACAAGTCCATTCTGTTATACCTGGCTGCCTGTATCTATTCAAATAGCGTTCTAAGTCCTTCTTGAAACCTGTCGGTGATTCTCCTTCACTGGAATTTGCAGATTCTGACAATGGTGGAAGATGCGGTGATATCCACACTCTGGTCAACAAAATTGAAGCGATCATTTATTCATTAAGATCTCCTTTTTAAAACAAATACAAAAAATGATGTTTAAATTTATTTAACAGACCCTTGTGTCCTATTCTCCCAATCGTCCATGTATAAATTCGCGGTAGATACGACGACTCGTATTCCGTCATCTTTATATTTTAAAATCATAATTTTGGTATGATGGCAACCAAATTTTGTTGGCATATCTACATAGAACGTGGTAACATTTGAACCCACTGGTCCTGTATCTACTCTCTCTCCGAGTAAAATAGACATGTTTGTGTTTTGCTCAGCCAACATATATTGCACATGTAACCATCCAATGTCAACCATAAAATTAATATGGAGGCTGTTTACTATTTCTCCTAAACTAATATCTAGAATTTCAGGAAGCGTGATAGAAAATGGTTGATCGTATGTTTCTTTTGATCTGTTAACTGTTGAAAAAAATATATGATACGGTGCTGAACAAGCATATTTCATGGCAAAATTTCCTGGCTCGACCAAAGACGACAAACATGTTTCATATCCAAGCTTCTTCATCATTTTAATCGCTTTCTCTCTCGTACATTTGCTCGATTGAAACGTTTTTATCAAAGATGATTCTCTCGATTGCTCTTGACTATTTTTAGAATCAGATTTTTCATCGGTTTCAACATGTTTGCTATGACTTGATTTTGATTTCTTATTATGCCTTTCATTATCCTGAAAATCACTATTATCTCTCTTTTTTTCTTGAGAAGAATTCTTTTCTATGCTTCCTTCCATTATTTTAAGATTATCTAAATCCTCTTTCATTTTAGCAACTTTATATTGATCCTTATTTCTATTTTCATTAGAAGCTTTAAAAAGCGCCTCTGCTTCTTCATCCATATCTTTCAATTTATTTTCTCTTCTTTGAAGCATTATTTGCTTGTGTTTTTCTACTTTATCTTTTAAATTTTGATTATCCATAGTATTATTTTCATTTTTCATTTTTGCATTGGTATTACTTATTTTAGAATTTAATTCTTTGATCGAAGAAGAACCATTTCCTGCTTTCTCTCTTCTTAATATTATTTGTAAAATCTTCAATTGATCCAACAAGAGAGATCGGTCGGAACATTCAAAATCAAGTTTTTCAGGTACTTGTATTTCACCTTCTAACTGTTTCATTACAATTGTTTCTACTGAAATACAATATATACTGTTTTTTATCACGATTAAAGATTTATCAGATACATATCGTGATGATCATACATATCGCGTTAATCAGATCAATATTAGATTAAGAGCAAATAGTACGTACAATGTGGATGTGACATCTCATTGAAATGAATCGGATTTCTTCGATAACATTTTTCCATATAAGGACACGGTTTCTTTTCTGGAACTTGCACGAAATAGCATAACTTTTGAAATTGTGAAAAATTAAACCTTAACCTTAAAATTAATCGCATTTTCTTACCATTATTAATATAACAAAGACTTGTTGCCATTCTATACCTTTATTTAATTCATAAAGAACGTGTTATAGAATAATAAATAATATTAGATTTAAGATTTTATATGAATTAATTACACGTATATAATACTGTTAAAATTTATTCCGAATTCTACGAATTATTCTTTCAAATAGCTGACATAGACGACTAGATGGTGCTGCAGTCGATGTGGCGCAAGTGTAGTTCAAATCGAAATTAGTCTTGATCTAAACTTCTCAAGAGTCGTGCGTTTGAAAAATTGTTTTAATAAAATATGGAAAATAATGTGAATTAATACAAAGTGTTGTTAATACAATTCTTTGCAATACATTTCTTTTGTTCGTGTCAAGTTGGAATAATACAAATACGTAACATTGTGCGTTCAATTTTTATCTTAAAGTGATTATGTTTTTTGCAAGTTTTTACGAGCCAAATTTATTAATCAAAATGGCGGGAACACGTTCAACAAGGTTTTTCGTTTCGTCCAATCAATCATCAACCAGATCTGAGATGTTTTTAACGTCGAACAATCAAGAAACAAAACAGGTAAGTCGACAAATTTAATCAAATAGCACGATACAAGGTGATAAAAAAAGAAACCGAAATTCGAATAATTTTCTCCGATATCATTTTAAGAATCTTAATTACGAAATGTTAGAACGAACGTCTCTCGATAAAAGAATCGGGGGGAAAATAAATCGTGACGGTGAACGATATGGCTTTTCACGGGGCCAAGAATTAAGAGCGTCTCGATGCGTTCTTAACCGATTTGGTATCGAGAGTTAAATTTCAACGAGCAAACTTACCGACCGCATCTCGGCGCACTTGATGCTCCGCGAGTGCCACTTGGAAGAGAATTGTGTCGATGCATTTCCATTTTTGCAAGAACAATTAGCGACCGTGGAAAGAATCGGAAGCGGATTTAAAAATTGGTTCGCTTAATATGCATGCGCATAATTTATAGGGAATAGCCAGCGATATTGAACTGATTAAATTAAAGTCACATCGTGGGTTAGAATGTTTTCGACCGCCATTCAAGGATGAGGTTGTTCGGGCAAAGAGATTAAAAAAATTCGCCGATTTAAAACATCTGCAAATTTGCATGATTTGATTAAAAAAATCGCGAAAGTGAATATTTTGCGAATAGAAGAGTACGACGAAAGAGATCGAATTTTTTCGAAGGAAGTTAATCTTCTTCGTTCATTGATATATAGATTAATTCCTTGCTCGTTCGTATAGACGTAAAAAATTAATTATACTCTTTATCAAAGTAAATAATTCTTCGAATAATACATATTATGACATATTATTAAACGGAACAAATGAAACGAAAAACTTTTCCAAACACTTTGGCAATTATTATGAATTAAAAAAAAAGACTAGCTTCTTTATTCGTTATTAATTTTAGAAACGTTTATTCGTTCAATCATCGAATAAAGATTAATCGAATGTTTACACCCGAATTGATTTCTCTTAAAAAAACATTTACACGTTTTCAGTAACAAACGAGACATTATTTTTATCGGCTACTTGCATTTTTCATCTCAATCGCAGCATCGATTCTCCCGCGAAAATCTTATTCATTTTATTCCCAACACTGTTCGTTCATTTTCCACTCGAGAACGACGCGGATAGAATTAACGAGAAAACGAAAGGGGAACAAGCTTATTCAGGAGATTGTCGACTTTTTGGACAGTTTGGACAGAGGAAGGAAGAAAAAGGCGGGAGGGATGGAGAAAATTGAATTACCATTGATTCAGCTTCGAAACTTCTTCTTCGCCGCCGATTCTTTCCCACCGATGCGACAAATTGAACATTTTAACTTATCAAATATTCGAGTCCCGTGTACGCTCGAACGAGGCGTCGTAAACATCGTGATTTTCACATTACAAACCCTTTAACGACAAAACTTAAATAGAATTAAAGTAAGATTATTCTCACAGAGGCGGTATAATCCTTCCCTCGTTCCCGCGTGTCGTTTTCCAATTTCCGTCCGGAAACGGAAATTAACGAAACGACATTCCTCGGTTTAATAATAATCGACGATTAGGAAAGGGTGACAAGTGTCTTGTGAACAGCGTGTGCTCGAATAAATAAGAGCAGCGCGTCGAACGGAACGACCGAAAAGTGGTCAGGATGCGAGGAGGAGGGGTGGGAGAGATGCCGTGCGTCGAGACGCCTCGATCCGCTCAGTCACCGCCCAGACCGCGCCGCGAGCGATTCATCCGCCGTGGCTCTCGCGTGTTTACACCGGCGTGCGTCTGTGACTCTCTCGTCTTCCAGCCTTCCTATCGTCACCCATATTTCGCGTCCAATAACTCTTCGCTTTTGTGGCGCGCGTACGATCTCCACGTGCACGCGTTCATCGAAGATTCGACCGCGTCGATCGTCCAGATCCGCGTTCAGTGATCCCTCGTGATATCGATCACGCGAACTGCAGTGTGGTAGCAAGTGTGGTGGTAAGTTGGAAGTGGCGGAGTCGTGGAAAGCGGTTTCCTCTGGAGGCAGTCGGAAGGCAATCAAGATTCATCGCCGCCCGGAAATGCGAGAAAGTCAAGGTCGTTTTATTTACACCGTTACACACCGCCGATCCCTCGTCAACGGCCGATTTCGCGCCAGCCAAACGGAAGCCTCGTGAATCACTCTTTATTTTGGATCGTCGTGTGTTTGTGCGCCGTAATCTTTCTTGTTTACGCGGCGCCCTTTCGCCGACCTGTTCTCAGAAGAAAAGGAAAACCTTTTCCTTCTCTTTTCTTTTCTTTTTTTTTTTTTTTCCCTATTCTTTTAAAGGAAGGTGTTCGTTTTCGAAGGATACAAGGAGGAAAAGGAAGTCGAATGGGAGTAAGATCGAGAGTATCGACATCGGGGAATTCGAATCGAATCATAACCTAACACGGTGAGAATCCCTCTCTTAAACCTCGGTGTTTTTTTTTTTCTTTCTCTCACTTTCAGTCTCTCTCGCTTCGCTCATTCTGATCCTTAAAAAGAAAAAAGAAAAAAAAATCCTTTCGTATTCCGCATACGCGACTAATTGCTTTCAATTTTTAAAAGCTTTCCGCGAAATTGGTGGTTTTGTTTACAAAAACGGAGGAATGAAAGGAGCTAAAATTTAAACTCGTTACGTTGTAATGAAAAGCGCGCGGGTTTTCGCAACGCGTATATATTTCGTAATCTCGACCCCTTCGGCTTCGATCGATCGTCGATAATTTTTACACGAATGATCCCGCCAAACTTTTCTCTCTCGTTTTCCAAACAAATCTCAAGATTTTACTCGTTTAAATCTTGCTCCATTCAAGGAAAATTTGACGCGAGGGAGAAATACGAAATAGAGGAATAGACTTAACTATCGAAATAGAGGAATAGCTTTAATTAATTTCGAGTATTTAACGAGTCGATTCCATCCACCAATGGAAATTCGTATCGAAGCAATGTGTGTGTGTGTGTGTGTGTAGTAAAAGCGAGATGATTAATCACAGCAATAGGAAAAAAAAAAAAAAAAATACGTGGGAAACGATTTCGAAAAACGATTCGATGAACGAATTGTATTTCACCGTTGTTTATATCAAAGATTATCGAGGCACGATCGAAAGAAAATCGCGTTACGCCGCGTGCGTGTATAGAAAAATAAATCGCGGTTTCGGCGGATGAAATATTCGGTGTGAAGTGGAGGGTACTCGGCCGTATAAAAATATTATTCGCTGTTACGAAGCTCGACGAAAACCATTTACCCCTCCTACCGGATAATTTGTAATTTAACGACGATCCCGTACGCGTCTAGATTTAAAACCATTCGGAATATCGTCCATCCCGCCTATTAATATGGATTAACCAGCATTTAGAACAACGGTCTCGTAAACCGTTAATCGCTCTAATAAATCACAAATCGAATATCTCGTACAATCTAATTCGTCGAGGATCAACGGATCAACGTTCGTTCTCCCCTTTATTTTTACACCACATTATTTCATTTGGATGAAACGCGAAGAAATATTTCCACCTGTGATTTATTGCTCCCTAAAAAAAAAAAAAAATCGCCATTGTTCTTCCTTCGTTTCGAGTTCGACGCAATTGTTTATTGCATAAAGTATCTCGTTCGAAGAAAATGAAATATCCGCTCGTTCTTTTTTTTCTTTTTTTCCTCTTTTTTTCTTTTCTTTTCTAACGCGATTTCGGCGTTACGTAAACGCCAAGAAAGTTCGTTAACCGATACATCGGGAAGAAAAAAATATCACTTAGAGGGGAAGTCTTTGAAGTGGATTGCACAGAGATGTAAAGTGCTTTCTTTCTTGAAAACTTCCAGCTCGAGCGCTGGTCACGAAAGAGAGGAAGAGGAGAAGAGAAGAGAGAGAGAGAGAGAGAGACACTCGAGTCTTCATTCAATGCTCTAAACGGGACATTCGATGATTCGATGAATAATAAACCGTTAACGACAATTAATTTTTGCATAGCCAACCGATAATTCTTCAGACAGCTGGAGAACGCTGGCATTGAACCGGAGAAATCTTCTCGAGTGGCTCTCATTCTTAACCGGCAAATAACAAACGCTCTCTGAATGTTTCTTCTCCTCGATGCTCGTGTATTCGAAATAAAATTTTACTTGACGGTAATCCCGATTAAAGAATTGAAGAGGAAAAGAAAGAAAAAAAGAGAGAGAGAGAGACGAATACCGTCGTTACATTGTCGCGAGAAATTCAAAAGGGTTGAAAAATGAATTGTTTCGCGGAGACGTAAATACGGGATTAAAATGGTCTGCGAATAGTTATCGTTATTGTATTGGAAGTGTACTGAGATGAAATTCAAGAGAAACGAGAGATGATGAATCGCCGTGTAGAACGAAGGGATAAAGTTTATCTTGAAAAATTAAAAATTGCAAAATTGAAGAGGGAGTGAACGGTTATATTTTTATCGCGGGAAGAAATTCAAAAGAGCTGAAATATGAATTGTTTTGCAGGGTGGTAAACACAGGATTAAAATGCTCTGCGAATAGTTATCGTTGTGAAATTCAAAAGAATCGTCGCGTTGAAAGGAGGGATAAACTTTGCCTTGAAAAATTAAAAAAGAGTTGCAGAGTTGAAGAGGAAGTAAATGGTCGCGAGAGGAAATTCGCGAAAGGATTGAAAAAGGGCATTAAACTCAATGAACTCGAGTGCATCCTTGCATCGATGCGAGACGAAATTCAAAAGATAAACGAATCGTTTTCTGGAGAAGGGGGCTGAATTTTGTTGAAAATTAAATATTGAAAAATTGAAGAGCGAGTGTTAACAATTGTTGAATTTTCTCTTTGATAAACTTGAAAAATTCAAGAGCGAACAGATTATATACAGTGATACAGATTGGCGCGAAACGAGATTCAAAAGGAATTGAAAAATGAAAAATCGTTCCGTCCCGGGTTGAAAACTCTGTGTTTTCGAAATGTGTTTTGAAATATATCGCTCGGTTAAAAGGATTTCCGCCGTTCCTTTCCTCCCTTCGTTTCTTTTTTCTCATTTGTCGGAAGACTGGGGGGGCCGACAAACTATTTTATCACCATATTTTCTCGATTCTTC